TTTCATCATATTTGCAGCGAAATCCTCAGAGAAATCTATTAAGATCATGAAGAAATTCTCAGAGTAATACGCTCATAAAAAAAGAACTTACTTCTGTGTTTATAAAGGAGTTACCTCAATTTTGATTAAGGTATACAATAAACTCTTACATTTGACCAAAATCATTAGACACTTTTTGGTGGAATGTTGTAGATTAAGTACACGAAATGGCTGTAGTTTGTTTGGGACAGGGATTGGGTGAGCATAAAGATTCGTATGGTGTACCACTTTGCCCTTGCTGGTGAAATTCAGATTTTCTTGAAAGAGCATTTGGATTTTTGTATATAAAAAAGTTCGATGCTTTTTCTTTTTGCAGACATTACAATTTTTGCAGACATTACGATGGTAAAACTGCTTAGGTTTCGGGCCCAAGGGAATTACGGGTAAATTCAAAGAAAACAAAAACGGATGAGGTTGGACAAGGGTTATGGAATTGCCCTTGTGTTCCAATGAGAGAGAGAGAGGTAAACTATAAACTCGTGCTATCAGATTTTACCTTTGTTTCTACATTAAGTCAAAAATGTTCTTCTAGTGATTGCTTGGGTTGTGAGTATGTAGCAGAGGCTCACACTCGTTTACCAATACTCATTGTTGCATCAAGTATGAAAGAAAAATATGTTCTCTCATTTACCATAGTAGTTTGGATAGAAGTTGATCCATATTGACAGGTTTATGGAGCATGTACTATGTTGTTAAACTAGAGGAAAATTATTTTCGGGATGTTAAAAACTCGATAAAACTTGTATATGCGAACGACTAATTTAGATAATGCTTGTGAATCTTTCATCTATGTACTAAGTTTTCTCGATTTGTCTGAACTCCTGACAAGGATTTCGCAGACTATTACATGAGAAGAAATAAAGGAAACCACAGCTAATATGTGTGAGAGAATTTACATCAAATTGAGGGAGAAGCACAAGGAATCGCTCTTGAAAACAATAGACAATATGAGAAAAGAAGATTTGGTTGATGCATAAAATCTGTTACAAGAGAAGAAACTAAAAGGATCTAACTGAAGAAGAACTTGATGAAACAGAAGTTCTTTTTCCACATCCTTTCTCGTTCCTCAAACTCAAAGCTTCCATAAACTTCTCGTTCCATTTTGTTCCTGCAGAAGCCATAGTAATGGTCTTCTTGTTACAGACATGATCTGTCGGAAACCGATGTTTCAAACAGAACTTGACTCCACAATCTTTGCAAGTCATGTTATTTGCAAAACTCAGAATCTCTTTGCAACGCTTTGCAGGACAAATCGGT